AAGAATTAAAATTCTATCTCCAAGTCACAACTCCAAAATGGTCCACAAGCCCAGGGGCACCTCTCAGCAATTTAGGCACTTTACTGCTGATCAGTTATTGGTGATAGCTCATTACACCATGGTCAGTGCTGTCTGTCATTTGAGTGCACACACTTAGAAGGTTTTTTATTCCAAAACCACATGGACTACACCAAAGTCAGAGGCCTGGCAATGTCAGACAGTTGTCTTCCACAAGACCTGAAAGTTCCACTGTGTTACCCCTTTTGTAACAGACACACTTGACATTTAAGATGTTTCCCTTCTGAAAGGAGAAACCTAGAAAAACTAGGTGGATGTTGAGTAAAACCAAAGCACTACATTAAACAGACTGAAGATTTCTGTTCTCTCCTGACTGTGTTCTAGAAAGCAGAAGCATTCTTTACCCATTTGTGAGAAAGCTTTGGGCTGTGGGGCCTGTAACACTGCTGGACGGAGCACACTGCGCTGCTGTTCCTTCGGCTTCTGGCTGGGGAGACCTGCAAGGGCAAAGTTTTTTTCAAGAGCTATAAAGCTTTAAAGTTGAAAAGTTCAGCTTCATCTAAGCTTCTCTGTAACTGCTTCCAACAGAACATACAGTGAAAAAAAGAGACATCAGAAAAGAGTCTCTTCTCCCTTCTTTTCCATCCCTCACTCAGCCTCAAAATAGAATTAGTCCCAAATAGAGAAGACTACTTCATAGCCTTAAAAGACACTAAAATATATTCTCTACCCAGGAAAGCACAGAAGGAGAGTTTACTACTGACTCAGAAATAAAAGCCAAAGTGTAGGAGAAATGCACAGTACACCAGTAATCCTATTTATGCACTGACATTTTATTCGGCTACACATTCCAACTCTTCTCTTCTCATACCATTTGAGTAATTTCCAGATACTGGTAAAAGATTTTTTTTTTCTTCATACAAAGAAATGTATTAGTAGTGTAATAGTTGAGCTGTGTTGTTTAATAACTTTTTGGCTTTTTGAATTAACCTGGCCTCTTTGGTTTGCTATAGCAAGATACATAGCACTACAACTCTAATTCTGCTATGATTCAAAAAGCCAGCTGACCTTCAGCAACCTAATAAAAATATCCCAAACATCATAACATCAGCTCTAGAAGGTTATGGCAATCCCAGAAGGTTCAGTTTTCTTCACTGAACACTCTTGATCCAACATAATACTGAAAGAGAACTCACTCATAGCAGTGAGGACATGACAACAACAAAATATAACAACTATCCTAAGTTCAAACGTTCACAGGTCAGCTCAAAAAAGCTTGTTCCTTTCTTAAATCTATCATTCTTCCTGCAAGTGAAATAAAGTTTTCATATCCATATGTAATAATAACTTCCATTACCTAAATAGTTCTGGGGTTTTTTTTCCCCTCAAACTCCTAAGGAGTTGTGATATTTATGTCTGTAATATTTATGGCTGGCTCTACATCAGCAAACAGGAGACTCAGTCACAGCCAACCTGTGGTGCAGAACAGGCACCACAATACTACCTTACAATAGTAGGTTGGAGAAACCACAAAATAAAATGCCTGAACTGGTTTCTTTGTGCTCTTGCAGAGAGCAGTGAACTCACCTGCACTGGGTGCCTGACCATGGATAAGTATCGGTGGCTTCAGCCGGAATCCACTGCTCTTCTCCTCTGCAAGCAAAACAAAAAGTTACAAGGACAAAGCTGTAACATACCACAAACATCCCATGCAGTCACAATATTCCTCGTGTTTTCCCTGTTGTAACAACCCACAAGTTCTATACATATCCAAAGCCATCAGGAGATTTCCAGAGGAAGAAATTTTCTTCTTCCAAAAGAAATCTGAATTTCCAGCGATCATCACATCCAACACACATTACAGACAAACAAGTTGTTGCAAGCAAAAAATTCAGGTCTTTTTTTTTCAGGAGAACAGGAAAAAGACTGTGTTCACAAGAGAAATGGAGCTCCTCCTGTGAAGGACTTAATAGAGGTTTTAGGTGAGAATCAAACTAAAGAAAGGACAATCAGAAGTATGACTGAACATGGGTGCTAACAAGCACCCAACTGCTAGTTATCAGAAGTTAAACTTCATTGCTTAACATTAGTTTCTTATAATTCCATTAGCTTTTACTGAGTGCTTTTACAGTATGAAGGTAAAGGAAATTCCTTTGCTTGCACTCACCACAGTTAGGGCTTTTAGATAAAACACCAAAATCTCAAAATATTCATAAATCCACAGCTATTAAAAATTGAGTTCTTAAGAACTTAAAAAGAATAATTATAATTTTTTCCTTTTAGGGGCATAATGTCTGTGCTCAGAATAAGACAACCCAGCACCTTACAATCCCACTGTGCTTGGTTATCCTCATGCCAGTTAATCCTAAAACACTGATGTGCAGCACAGCAACACCAACACCACTGAACCAGAAAGGGGACTGACAAAATCAGCAGTTCTGGCAACACAGGGCTCACAGGTCATGGCTGAACATCACTATGACCATAGATCATGGTTGTTTTGGAATATTGTTCTTCTGTATTAGAAAGCAAAGTCAATAAATGAAGATTTCCTGAAA